ATATATATATATATATATATATATATATATATATAGTATTATTTTTAAAAAGTTTGCCTCATCAATAAATAGCAGAAAATGCATTTTTTAAATTAAATTTCTATGTTGTAGTTTACCTTTGTGCCTCTTGCACACACACAAAGGGAGCGTGTCAGGTTTGATGTTCCAGTTCTTCAGACAAGTAAACAGAACAAGCTGTTTGTCCAAAAAGTCACCAGAGAAACAGTCATTGTCTTTCAGTTCCTCAATACGATTCATCCACTGTTGAGCATGATGCGTCCTGAAAAAGGCCCACCAGCCTTCAATCCGCTGATTGTGATTGCTGGATCCAGAAATAAAACTGTTACTGGCAGAGAGATCAGAACTCCATCGTATGAATTTCTGCATTTCTGCCATCGTGTCATTTTCAATTCCAAAATCAGCGCGAATTCGAGCAGGTGTCCCCATCCTCCTATTAACTTCTGTTATGAAATATCCCGCAATGATTTTAGGGTCACTGCTTGTTGAGAAAGTATGAAGCCGTATCATTTGTCTGGAAAAGCCATCGATCGCTCCATTAATACAAATACCAAATGGCTTCAGTTTATCATAGGAGTCAACGTGCCACATGAAATTAGGTCCAGGATTTACATACACATGTCACATCAACCGCCTCCTTCACCTTTGTTCCACACCACTGGGGTCAAGAAATTTTAACATGTGTCTCACTGTACTTTGAGTCACAATGTATCCACCCTGAACACTTTTAAGGTGGTGAAACTTATATCCATGAAGCCTCCCATAACTCTCCAGCTGGTCAATGAGGAAGGCAGCCACATCTAGAGGATCGGACTGGTTTTTCCTTCTATACAGTCCCATTCTGTTCAGGATTCTTCTCAGAGTGCTCATACTGATGATGGTTTCATCCACACTGCGCAACAGCATCAGTATTTCTCTGTTTCTTAGACCAAGCAGGAAGTAAAACTTGATCAACATCTGCAAATTAGCCATTAGTTTTCATGAGTACAAAGGGTATTGGCATGTAGGCTAAAACCCTAGCCTACCGCCAAACTTCTTCTTACTCTTTTTACCCGAGTCTCGTTGTCCATGCAGGGTAAAAGTCAACTACTGCCAACATCTGGATGAAATGATCATGTTTGTACAGTCTGTAACTATCACGTATGTACAATGTAATTATCACATTTGTACAATATAATTATCACGTTTGTACAATATATTATGTTTGTACAATATATTTATCATGTTTGTACATCCATACATACATCCATTTTCTTCCACTTATCTGGGGTTGGGTCGCGGGGGTAACAGCCTAAGTAGGGAGGCCCAGACTTCCCTCTCCCCAGCCACTTGGTCCAGCTCCTCCGGCGGAATCCCGAGGCATTCCCAGGCCAGCCGAGAAACATAGTCCCTCTAGCGTGTCCTGGGTCTTCCTCTGGGTCTCCTCCCGGTGGGACGTGTCTGGAACACCTCACCAGGGAGGCGTCCAGGAGGCATCCTAACCAGATGCACGAGCCACCTCAACTGGCTCCTCTCGACGTGGAGAAGCAGCGGCTCTACTCTGAGTCCCTCCCGGATGATCGAGTTTCTCACCCTATCTCTAAGGGAGAGCCCAGACACCCTGCGGAGAAAACTCATTTCGGCCGCTTGTATCCGAGATCTCGTTCTTTCAGTCACAACCCAAAGCTCATGACCATAGATGAGGGTAGGAACGTAGATCAATCGGTAAATTGAGAGCTTCGCCTTTTGACTCTACTCTCTCTTCACCATGACAGACCCGTACAGCGCCCGCTGCACTGCAGACGCTGCACCTATCCGCCTATCGATCTCACGCTCCATTTTTCCCTCATTTGTGAACAAGACCCCAAGATACTTGAACTCCTCCACTTGGGGCAGGACCTCCTCCCTGACCCGGAGAGGGCACTCTACCCTTTTCCGGCTCAAGACCATGGTCTCGGATTTGGAGGAACTGAACTTCATCCCGGCTGTGTCGCACTCGGCTGCGAACCGCTCCAGCGAAAGCTGTAGATCACGGTCTGATGAGGCCAACAGGACTAGATCATCTGCAAAAAGCAGCGACGCAATCCTAAGGCCACCAAAACGGATCCCCTCAACACCTTGGCTGCACCTAGAAATTCTGTCCATAGAAGTTATGAACAGGATCAGTGACAAAGGGCAACCTTGGCGGAGTCCAACTCTCATCGGGAACAAGCCCGACTTACTGCCGGCAATTCAGACCAGGCTCTGACATACAGGGACCTAACAGCCCGTATCAAAGGGCCCTTAAGCAAGGCCCTTAATTCCCACCATCTGCTCCTCCTGGTGTTCTAGATAGCAGCTCTCTGCTCCACACAGAGGGCTGTGGTAGCTCGGTGATCTGTGGTTGCGTCAGGAAGGGCATCCGGCGTAAAAATAACTGCCATGTCTTCGTGCGACTTAGTTCGCTGTGGCGATCCCTAACACAGGGAGCAACCAAAAGAAGAAGAAAAAAAAAGTTTAAAGCAAAGAAAAACTTTAGTAAGATTCAAGTCATGAACTAAAAATATACTACATTCACTAAACTAAGAATACACAAGACTGAGACTACACTAAGCACTAACAGTAATAATAATCTGTGTTCGTCTGTCTCCTTCCTGTCCTCTCAACCAGCCGGTCAAAGCAGATGGCCGCTTGTCCTGAGCCTGGTTCTGCTGGAGGTTTCTTCCTTTTAAAAGGGAGTTTTTCTTTCCACTGTCTCCACTGTGCTTGCTCAGGATGGGAGACTGCAACAAAGCCAAGATTCAACTTGTCTGCTGGATTCCTTAGATAGAGAACTTTACTAATTGGCTTTTATGTGAATGTTCCTGTAAAGTCCCTGAGACAACTTTGTTGTGATTTGGTGCTATATAAATAAACTGAATTGAAATTGAAAAATAGTACAAAAACAATATGCCAAAATAACAGCAGCACGAACACGAGTCTGTGTGAGCAGATGAGGACTAATGAACACAGCAACATGAAATAATCAGCAGTATGAGATCAGCATCATGGATAGCAGCACACATCAACAACCAAGTGGCATTACAATGATTTTCACAGGTTTTTTTTTTTCCACAGTGATTATCCTGGTTAGAGATTCATGAGTCTAACAGCATCATGGTAGAAGCTGTTCCTCAGCCTGGTAGTTCTACACGTAATTCTCCTCAACCTCTTTCCTGAGGGTAGCATGGCAAAAAGTGTGTGTGCTGGGTGAGTGGGGTCCTTCGTGATGCAGGTGGCCCTCTTCCTGCATCTGGAGGTGTAAATTTCTGTGGTGCTGGGGAGACTGACTCCAACATCTTCTGTGCAGCCTTCACCACTTTCTGCAGAGCTTTTCTTTCTGCAGCTGTGCAGCCTCCATGCCACACGTTGATGCTGGAGCACAGGATGCTCTCCACTGCACACCTGTAGGAGGTGGTGAGGACTGAGCTTCCCAGACCAGCTCATCCCACAATCATCTCCTTTGTCAGCTTCACGTTAATGTGGAGGTTGTTCTTCCTGCACCAGCGCTCCAGGAGTTCCACCTCCTGCCTGTAGCTGGACTCATCGTTGTTTGTGATGCATCCCACCACCGCTGTATCATCTGCAAACTTTACAATATGACAGCCTGATTTGTCGTATGCAGTCATATGTTAGCAGAGTGATCAGGAGAGGGCTCAACACACAGCTCTGGGGGGAGTCCGTGCTGAGGGTTATGGTGGAGGAGGAGAAGTCGTGGATCTTCACAGATTGTGGTCTGTTGGTTAAGAAGTCTAGGACCCAGTTACATAGAGAGGAACTTAGTCCTAGTGTGAGTAGTTTCTCGATCAGGGTTTGGGGGATCATGGTGTTGAAGGCAGACATAGTCTACAAAGACCATACGGACGTAGAAATCCTTCTTCTCCAAGTGGGTGAGAGCAGTGTGGATCACAGAGGAGATGGCAACCTCTGTTGATTGATTCTTGCAGTATGCATACTGATGAGGGTCCTCGTTGATGTTGATGTTAGTTTGATGTGGGTCATGACCAGTTTTTCAAAGCATTTATCGACTGTCGGTGTGAGGGCTACCGGCTGATAGTCATTATGGCCAGTCACTGTAGAGCTCTTTGGAACTGGGATAATGATGGCAGTCTTGAGGCAGGTGAAAACTGTTGCCAGTGTGAGGGAAGAGTTAAATATGTTGGCCAGCACCTCGCAGATCTGATCAGTCTTTCAGCACCTTGTTGTTTGGGCTAATTGCCTTGTGAGGATTGATCCTCCTGAAAATATTCCTTACTTCTGCTGAGGTCACATTGAGGAACTCTATTATAGGTATCACACTTGACGTAACAATTTTGTAAATGGTAAATGGACTGTACTTATATAGCGCCTTTCTGTCTTATTTCAAGATACTCAAAGCTCTTTACACAACAATCTGTGTCCTCATTTACCTATTTATACAACACTCTACTAGATCTCTACAAAGCTAATTGAACAAATCATTCTAATGAGACTAATCAGTGCTTTAGATCACATTTATACACTAATGGGACACACATCAGAGGCTATGAGGGGTTCAGTGTCTTACCCAGGGACATTACAGCATGTGACTGCTGGTGGATTAGAACCCCCAACTCTCGTATTGGAGGACTACTGCTCTAACCACTCAGCCACAGCTGCCCCCATGCTCCTTTAGGTTGGTTTAGCACTTAGAATCCCAGTAATATACTTACAAATTTGTGATTGAGTGACAAACTTTAGAAAGGTTCACAGCAGGCTGGCTTGAAACACATCTTTGAGGTGTTCTTTATAAGACAGTTCTTGGTGGCCGGCCTCAGACTGATGAAGTCTTTTGGATGAAAGACGAAACATTACTCCCAAAAAGAAACTGTCCAGATGACCTGATTTAATCATTTTGTGATTCAAGTGGTGTAAATACTTATGAGAGTCAGAGATTCTTTATTGTCGTTCGCACCTCATGTGGTACATGTGGTGGAGCGAAATTATGTACATAGGGTCCCAGTTACATCCAACAAGAAAATGTAAAAAAAAACAATAATAACATCTAAGATATGAACAAAGAAAAACATTAACTAAAAATACACTAAGCACTAATAGCATAAAAACATTATGTCGAACAGCAGCACGAACATGAGCATGAGTCTGTGTGAGCAGATGAGCATGCATGAACACATCAACATGAAACAGTTCAGCAGCAACATGATGTGATTTTTCACAGTTATTATCCCACTTAATCTAATCACGTTAATCTAAAGGACTGTCTCCCAAGCTTTTACCAGCATGTGGGCATACCAACACATGAAAACAACACACTGGACCATGTTTACACGGACGCAAAAGATGCATACAAAGCCGAACCCCGCCCCCACCTAGGACTGTCAGACCACATCTCAATCTTAATTGTCCCTGCTTACCTGCCCCCGCTGAGATACTCCAGACCGGTACAAAAGAAAGTTAAATGTTGGATTCAGGACAGTGGCCCCATACTCAGAGATTGTTTTGAATGAACAGACTGGCAGATTTTCAGAGAAGCTGCTGAAAATGGAGGATGGCTTGATCTGGACCAATACACATCCTCAGTTCTGGGTTACATTAGTACATGTACTGGCCCTGTCTCCACCATAAGATACGTTAAAAGCTACCCAAACAGAAAACCTTGTCTGAATGCAGAGTTGCGCACCCTGCTGGCAGCCAGGAACACTGCCTTCAGGTCTGGAAACTCAAAGGAGCTGAGTAGGACAAGGAAAGAGCTGGTTGCTGGTATTAAAAAGGCCAAGGCCACATATGCACAGAGGATCGAGGGTCAATTCACCTCACAAGACCCTTGGAGCATGTGGAGTGGCATTAAGTGCATAACAGATTATAAAGGAAGGAGCGAACAATGCCCCAAAGACTCATCTCTGCCTGATGCCCTCAACAAGTTCTATGAACGCTTCGAAGACCACCCAGCACCAGACTCACCTCACCACCGGATGAAGAGCATCTCAGCGTGACCTCAGCCGAAGTAAGGAGTACTTTCAGGAAGATGAATCCACACAAAGCAACCGGCCCAGACAACATCCCTGGAAAAGGGTTGAAAGAATGTGCCGATCAGCTCTGCGAGGTGCTGGCAGACATCTTTAACACCTCACTTACCCTGGAGACAGTTCTCACCTGCCTGAAGACTGCCACCATCATCCCAGTCCCGAAAAGCTCTACAGTGACTGGTCTGAATGACTATCGGCCAGTGGCCCTCACCCCTATAGTCGCTAAATGCTTTGAAAAACTGGTCATGACCCACATCAAAACAACCATTAACATCAACGAGGACCCTCATCAGTATGCATACCGCAAGAACCGATCAGCAGAGGATGCCGCCATCTCTGTGGTCCACACTGCGCTCAACCACCTGGAGCAGAAAAACTCTTACGTCCATATGCTCTTTGTGGACTTCACATCCGCCTTCAACAGCATGATCCCCCAAACCCTGATGGACAAACTATCCACACTAGGACTAAGCCCCTCCATTTGCAACTGGGTCCTAGACTTCTTAACAAACAGACCACAGTCAGTGAGAATCCACAACTACTACTCCTCCACCATAATCCTCAGCACTGGCTCTCCTCAGGGATGTGTGTTGAGCCCCCTCCTGTTTACTCTACTCACGTATGATTGTGCAGCTACCCATCCAGGCTGTCACATTGTAAAGTTTGCAGATGATACAGCGGTGGTGGGATGCATCACAAACGAAGATGAGTTCCGCTACAGGCAAGAGGTGGAACACCTGGAGAGCTGGTGCAAAGAGAATAACCTTCACGTCAACGTGAAGAAGACAAAGGAGATGATTGTGGACTTCAGAAGGAACGAAAACATCTACACCCCTCTGAACATAAGAGGATCTGCGGTAGAAGTGGTCTCCAGCTACAAGTACTTGGGTGTACACATGAATGACAACCTCAGCTGGAGCAACAACACCACCAGCCTGATCAAGAAAGCTCATCAGAGACTCTACTTCCTCAGACGGCTGAGGCGAGCTGGTCTGGGAAGCTCAGTCCTCACCTCCTTCTACAGGTGTGCAGTGGAGAGCATCCTGTGCTCCAGCATCAACGTGTGGCATGGAGGCTGCACAGCTGCAGAAAGAAAAGCTTTGCAGAGAGTGGTGAAGGCTGCACAGAAGATGTTGGAGTCAGTCTCCCCACCATCACAGACATCTACACCTCCAGATGCAGGAAGAGGGCCACCTGCATCATGAAGGACCCCACTCACCCAGCACACACACTTGTTGCCCCACTCCCCTCAGGAAGGAGGTTGAGGAGCATTAAGTATAGAACCATTAGACTGAGGAACAGCTTCTACCCTGAGGCTGTTAGACTCATGAATCTCTAACTAGAATAATCACTGTGAAAAATCACATCATGTTGCTGCTGATCTGTTTCATGTTGCTGCTGATCTGTTTCAAT